ACAGATTGATTTATCTGATGAAGTAAAGAAGAGAATCAAAGTTAAGATGCACTGTCTCTTTCTCCTTCTTATATTCATGTCTATAATCAAAGAAGAAATATTCTCCATACAATGGTGATTTTAACAACCGTCAAGGGTCGTCATAGATCTCTCTAGTTTCTGCAGTAATAGCTAGTTTTGTGATACAATCATCAGAAAGCTGCCATTTTTCATCACGTGATACCAATGGAATGCAATTGAACTTTGCAATTATTGCTCAAAGGTCAACCGTGTCCTACCTCCTCTGGTTCTAACCTTATAGCCACGCCAGCACCTTCGAGCCACACCTCGAAGGCAAGATGGAGCATATCTGTGCTGGATCTCCTGGATCTATAGGTCTATACTGATTAGTCTACTAGAGTAGCGTCAACACACAGCCACTATTTTTAAGTAATTTAAGGTTCTAAAGTAGTTTGAGTGTTGCAAAACAACTATATTGCATGTATTGTTGCTGCATGAACTTGAGTAGAACTGCTTGTCAACACATCATTATGTATACGTAGCTACAGTCATAGATCTACATAATACTGGTGTTTCCAACTTCCATTTAGCTGTTTCATTAATTATAATACTAACCATGTAGTCTTGCCCCATCTACGCCAAATTATGAAATATTAATTATAATTAATTTATAGCATCTTAATAGTCTAGTACCTGCATGTTGTAGTATCTTAATAGACAACAGATTTCAGTTTGTTTACTGTAGTGTAGATTAAGATTTGCACTTGCATGCTGAGAAACAAAGTATTATATAGCAACATGTATGAGTGCATGGGTGTCTTGTATTTGTGTTGTGGACTGACATGGGAATGCATTACAACGTATATCGCTATTATATGGAAATGTATATCAGGTAAATCTATTAATACTATTACTATTACTGTGTAGCCTTTAAGCAATATGTAATTATTCACAAAGCATGCTAAGTAAGCTAAACAACATTCTTCATGAGTTGACAAGCACATGTACCGGTATGTACGTGTACACATTTGTACATGTATATGGCATTTGGAGCAACTTCAAAAATTCCTAAAAAATCTAATTCTGATCAGAATCAGCTTAAACTTTCTATGCAAACTAGGAACATGTATATGCATCAGAAAAACTTGTAAAGGTGTTGAATTCTCTCTTAGATATTTTTGATGAAATTTGACCGAAGACGTGTACTATAATACAAGTTATTTTGTCTTAATTTTGAGCAACTTGATAAATTCATTTAAAGTCCAAATTTGATGGGAATCAGCTCAAACTTTTGACACAACATAAGAGCATGTATAGGTATCAGAAAATAATACAAAAAATGAAATTCACTTTTAGTAGTTTTTGACATACATGTAATACACCTTATAGTATAGCACAGGATGTTTTGTCCAGCTTTGGATCAGTTTAAAACCTACCATCAAAATGCTGAGCACTATGCCAAAGACATGTGAAAAACCCCCTAGGCAACATTTCATTTCTTTCCCTTAGTGTGCAATGTCTTTGTCTGCATGTGTGGTCTTATTTGATCTCCATTTGCCTCTCTCTTTTCCCCTAGCTCTTAAATGCACTACATACAATCTTTAGCAATCTCCCTGAATATACTATATAGTCTATTCTCTTACCCTCTCTTTACGGCTTTACTATTCTACATGTCTCTTTCTCTACAGCTTTCTCATCCTTGCTCCTGTATGACCCTATCCTACATTCCTTCCTCTCTACCTTCCTTTCTACATCTGCATGTGTAATATGTTTACATTTAGCACATGCATATCAAGAATGCATGCCACACACAGGCCTACATGTATGCCACTGATTCATTAAAGTAGAGCTTATGTAATAAAGTAATTGCCAATGCCCTTATACGCACTGAATAGCATTACAGCTTCCCCATTATATACTCATGATTAGAGTCATCATTGCTCTTTAATCTGATTAACCATTACAATTCACTACCTCTCTCTCTTTGACATTTTTCTTTCTCTATCTGTGTAGTGTCTCTGTCACTCTCGAGCTTAGGATTTATGCTTACTAAAAGTATCAATTGTATTTCATTCAAGTAAGGTCACTTGTATATCTTTCCATTTTATGTTTCTCTGTATGATTATTGTCTAATTCAAGTTACAAGCTATGTAGTATCAAGAACACAGGACTATACATGCATGACCAAATATTGTTGTATTGTTGTATGCTATTTTTTGATTTTTAATTTTTAAAAGTCACAATTTTTAAAAGTGAATTTCATTTTTTCTATTATTTTCTGATACCTATACATGCTCTTATGTTGTGTCAAAAGTTTGAGCTGATTCCCATCAAATTTGGACTTTAAATAAATTTATCAAGTTGCTCAAAATTAAGACAAAATAACTTGTACTATAGTACACGTCTTCGGTCAAATTTCATCAAAAATATCTAAGAGAGAATTCAACACCTTTACAAGTTTTTCTGATGCATATACATGTTCCTAGTTTGCATAGAAAGTTTAAGCTGATTCTGATCAGAATTAGATTTTTTAGGAATTTTTGAAGTTGCTCCAAATGCCATATACATGTACAAATGTGTACACGTACATACCGGTACATGTACTTGTCAACTCATGAAGAATGTTGTTTAGCTTACTTAGCATGCTTTGTGAATAATTACATATTGCTTAAAGGCTACACAGTAATAGTAATAGTATTAATAGATTTACCTGATATACATTTCCATATAATAGCGATATACGTTGTAATGCATTCCCATGTCAGTCCACAACACAAATACAAGACACCCATGCACTCATACATGTTGCTATATAATACTTTGTTTCTCAGCATGCAAGTGCAAATCTTAATCTACACTACAGTAAACAAACTGAAATCTGTTGTCTATTAAGATACTACAACATGCAGGTACTAGACTATTAAGATGCTATAAATTAATTATAATTAATATTTCATAATTTGGCGTAGATGGGGCAAGACTACATGGTTAGTATTATAATTAATGAAACAGCTAAATGGAAGTTGGAAACACCAGTATTATGTAGATCTATGACTGTAGCTACGTATACATAATGATGTGTTGACAAGCAGTTCTACTCAAGTTCATGCAGCAACAATACATGCAATAGTTGTTTTGCAACACTCAAACTACTTTAGAACCTTAAATTACTTAAAAATAGTGGCTGTGTGTTGACGCTACTCTAGTAGACTAATCAGTATAGACCTATAGACCCAGGAGATCCAGCACAGATATGCTCCATCTTGCCTTCGAGGTGTGGCTCGAAGGTGCTGGCGTGGCTATAAGGTTAGAACTATTGCAGTATTGGCAATGGAGAACGTTTTTATATTTTTCCCATTTATTGTCATTTAGAGCAATGGTTTAAATGGAGTTAATCAGCAGGGGCCATCCTTGCTTGGGTTGACCGCCCACGCACCCACTGCATGGCATGGGCAGTATGCAAATGTAGCGACCCACTTGTACGCCCACGTGGGTGACCAGCATCATCCGGCATTCACTTAGGATCTCAAGCATGGAAGAAGCACCTCCAATTGTTCTTATCTACAGGCGAATGGGAAGAAGAACAAGAGAGAATTTCTCTCTCGTTCTTCTTCCCATTTGCCCGTGTCATCAGTTCGTCATTCACCCGTCTTCAATTAAGATGACTACGTCCGTCCCATCACCCGCAACGTCTACTGTTGATTCATCGATACGGGCGTTACTAGAATGCGGATCAGTGCGGATTGCTGCGGATCGTTCCGCACGGTGAACCAAGCGGTCGTCCCTAAAAAGCGGACCGGACCGGACCAACGGACCCGAAAAGACTAATTTACGGACCGAGCGACGGACCCGATACAAACTAATTTATTGACCCGACCAAGGGACCCGAAAAGACTAAAGTACGGACTCTGCGTTAATGATCACGGACCTGACCGACCTAGAGCATAGATATCTATGCTAGCATCAGTATTTATGATGCTAGCAAACTCCATGATGGCCTAGACAACATGCAGAACTTCAGTGAAAAATATAATTTTTATCTATGGAGATAGATCTACTATCAGTTGAGTAATAATACAATGCAGTGAAGCCGTAGTTTATTGATAAAGTCTGTAATATCAACTTGAATTAATTTTACACTTGTTCAAAACTAATAATAATATTATATCTAGTAGACTATAATAATCAATTGTTATATTCATGCATCAGCAATTTATGTATTAATTAATTTATTTAAACTTGACAGTGACCGGCAATGAGAATAGAGTTAAGAGGCTAGATAAAAAGAAACACCAAAGGCCTGACCAAGGAAACATGGCCAGCCAGAAAGAAAAAGAAAAAAGATGAGAAAAGAAAGAAAAAGAAACAAAAAAACTAATAAGAAAAAGTAAAAATACAATCAAAATTAAAACGGTAGTAATGATGATAATAATGATGATAATTAACTGAATCTAATGCAAAATAAATCAACATAAATAATAATAATACTGGAACTGATCCCAAAAGTAGTTCTTGTTTATGTTATGTAGTAAAAATTTTAATAATCTTTATAGCAATGATGTTAGTGAGAATAAGCTAGTGAATAATACCAAGCCTCGGAGTAAGCTTAACTACTAAATGGATAAATAAATAATTATTAGCAGAATAAATAGTTAATAAATATACCAGTCTAAACAGAAGTTTACAAAAAAATACAGCACAGTGGTATTACTCAGTAGTATAATGTCAGAGGCTGGAGATCTTGAGTGATTAGTATTGACAGTACAGATTATACCAATTAACTGCATGAACACTTGTAATATCTTTTTATTGTGTAGTTCACTTATGCAGTGATAGATGATAAGTACCAAAGTTTTTGTGTTATTGTTATTTAAAATTCTGAATAATTATTATGAATTAAAGGTGCATGTAAATTCTTGAATATAATCATTACAAATATCTGGGCCATATTTCAGTGGTATCCATCTTTATTGCATGCATACATTTCACATACACTGCATGTTATGTTATCAAGTATAGACTTAAATTTTTAAAGTTATTCATGCATAAAATGATCAACCACAATAATTGTACCAACACATGTGGTCATTGACAAATTTAAGAAGTTGTAATTATTATTACATATCTAATTTGTAACCGTTTTTCCCGGTACTGAATTTAGAACAAGATTTGCTTGCCATATTAAGCTGTACAGTGACACAAATAAGTAAGAGATATTTAAACCATTTGTAGACTAGTCACTGCACAACATCCAAGTTCAGTACTCAGAACCAGGCTCAGGCTGTATACAGTTGCTTCATGAATAAATTTGTTAAATTCACAATATCTGAAGGTTTGGGCTTATATCTAACCGAGAAGCAGGATTTCAGCAAGAGTAAATCTTGACCTAAGCATTAGCTATAATTTTTAGCATCTGTAAGATTACCGGTATAGTGAGCAAAGTGGTCCGCAAAATAGAAATGTCGCGGACCATTCGGGTCCGTAAAACAGATTTGTCGCCGACCATGGTCCGTTGGTCCGGTCCGGTCCGTTTTTTAGGGACGACCGAACCAAGCACGTGAACGCGCGGAACGTGCACGGGCGTGTGCCTAGAATGCGGATCAACTCCCAAGAATTCAGAATATACACCATAACTTCCCGCGGATCAGTCCTCTTGTTCTTCTATTCCATTCAATCTTTATTTGTTGCAATTTTTAACTCTTTATAAAGTAAAAATAACTATTTTTAACTCAGTGTAATAATTTTAAACTTTGAATGTACGAGATTTCAGTGATCATATCAAAAGCCTTCAGTCATTGGTCATAGAATAAATTATACTGCATCTAGATCTAGTTGCAATGAAATGAGTTACAATCTGCATTGAAAACAAAC